TATACATCCTCAGTTGCCCTTGGCTGTGTCAACCATCCTTTTGCATACAGTAGGGATTATGGTGCCTAGCTCTGCATAATATTTGTGCTGTTTTAGGATTCTGTGGGATATGCAGATGTGGCCCTGGAATTTACCCAGGAGGAGTGGAGTTTGCTGAATTTTTCTCAAAGGAAACTTTACAGAGATGTGATGTTGGAAATCTTACGTTATCTGGTCTCAGGTAAGGATGCTTTCATTTTTCTGAATTTTTTTTTCCCTTTATTTTTAGGGACATTGTTCTCTTTAGGGTGGTGAAAACCTTTTGGAAATGGATAATGGTGATGGAAGTGCATTGTGGTGAACATAAGTGTTGTTGTTAAGTGCAGTCGAGTCGATTCCAACCCCATAGCGACCCTGCATAGGGTTTCTGGGGCTGTAAATCTGTACAGGAGCCGAACTGCTGACCTTGAGATTAGCAGCCTGATTCTTAACCACTGTGCTACCAGAGATCCTTGTGAATATAATTAGTGTGACTAAATTGTACATTTAAAAATGGTTTAAATGGCAAACTTCTGGTATGTACAAGGGGACTTGAAAAGGTTTGTGAGAAAATGGAAATTAAAAGATAATGGAATTTTCCCATGAACTTTTTGAAACCCTCTCACGTATATATGGAGCCATGGGGATGCTGTAAGATAAATACCGGACTGCTAACCAAAGATCGGCTGTTTAAACCCAGCAGTGGGGCCCAGGTAGGCATTCTGCTCCCATAAAGATTTACAGCCTCAGAAACCCCTTTTAGGTATTCTAATCAGTTATAGGCTAAAGGCGGGCTTATAAGTTTTCACTAATCAAGTTTCCCAACATTCCTTTCTATCCTACTCAAGCGTCTATTTTACAATAGTAGGCAAGGGAAACTAATATTCATAAGGCAGTCAAGGATTTTAGGATTATTTCCCCTCTTCAAGTTATACCTAGATCCCTGTATCCCAGAGCCCTGTTGTTCCAAGGTTGTGCATGCATCACTATTTACCTCTGTCCCACTAGGCCATGCAAACCTGTCTCAGTGTTCCCCTATCTATCTTGTTCTTCTGCCTCCTTCTTGTATTACCCTCACCAACACCCAAAATAACCCCCCAACCTCATTGTGGTTACCTTATATTCCATTAGTACTTCCCTCCCTTTAACATAGTCTATATTATCCAGTAATCTACCTGACCTTCCCACCACCTGGATCTCTGTTCTTCTGTGTTTACCTTTTTTCACATTGTAATTGTTTTGATCATAGACTGA